GTTGATTTTGGGGATACCTGAATTGGGGACAGGAATTTGGGGATTCCAGGATTGTTGCTGATTTTGGGATCCCTGATTTTGGGATCCTGGATATGGGGCTGATTTGTGGCTGATTTGGGGATCCCTGATTTGGGGCTGATTTTGGGGCTGGTTTTGGGATCCCAGGTTTGGGGCTGATGTGGGATCCCTGATTTTGGAATCCCTGATTTGGGGCCAATTTTGGGGCTGATTTGGGATTCCTGATTTTGGGATTCCTGATTTGGGACAATTTTCAGGGCTCATTTTGGGGCTGATTTCAGGATTCCTGGTTTGGGGCTGATTTTGGGATCCTTGATTTGGGGGCTGATTTTGGGATCATTGATTTCAGGATCCTGAATTTGGGGCCAATTTTGGGGTTGATTTGGGGATCCCTGATTTGGGGCCAATTTTGGGGCTCATTTTAGGATCCCAGGTTTGGGGCTGGTTTTGGGATCCCTGATTTGGGGCTGATTTGGGATCCCTGATTTCAGGATCCCCGATTTGGGGCCGATTTCAGGGCCAATTTTGGGGCTGATTTTAGGATTCCTGGTTTGGGGCTGATTTTGGGATCCTTGATTTGGGGGCTGATTTGAGAATCCCTGATTTGGGGANTTTTGGGGTTCGGGGAGTGGGGGGGGATCCCCAGAGATTTGGGGTGACCCCCCCGGCCCCCCCAGGATCTCCCTGAACACGCTGACGCTGCCCGTGCGCAGTGAGAAGGTTTACACCCGCCACGGGGTGCCCATCTCCGTCACCGGCATCGCACAGGTACCCCAAAACACCCCGAAAATACCCCAAAAATCTCCCATCAGAAGCGCCAAAAATCCCCCAACCTCCCCTCCCAAATCCCCTCCTGGATCCCAAAACCAGCCCAAAGACCCCCAAAAAATCCCCCCAAAACACCCCAAAAATCCCCCCAGAATTGCTTCCTGCTGTGCTCCCAAAAATCTCTCCTGGACTGCCAAAATCCCCTAAAAATCCTCCAAAAATCCCCTCCTTGGTCCCTGAAAATCCCCCCTCAGAATCCCCAAAAATCCCCTCCTGGACCCCGAAAACCCACTAAGAAATCTTCTATCAAAACTCCAAAAATCCCCTAAAAGTCCCTCCTGGACCCCCAAAAATCCTCCATCAGAACCCCCAAAAATACACCCAAGACCCCCCAAAATCCTCCCCGGGATCCCCCAAAATGTCCCTTGGTACCCCCAACCCGCCCCGGTCCCCAACACCCCACTAGGAGGCCAAAAACCCCGTTCAGAACTCCCAAAATATATTTGGGAACCCCCAAAATTCCCCTCTGGACCACCCAAAATTTTCCCGGAACCACCCAAATCCCCCCAGAAACCCCAAATATACCACGCGGATGCCACTAAAACCGCACTCTGAACCCCCGAAATCTCCTTGGAACCTCCCAAAAATGCTCCGGGACCTCCAAATTGCCCCCGGGACCCCCAAAATCTCCCCCGGGGCTCCCCTGCCCGAACCAGCCAGGGTGGCGTTGCCCTTTTAATTGAGGTTGTGGTGGGGCCTACCTAAGCGCGTTCTTAAAGCGGCGATGGTAGCGGGAAGCGCAAAACACCGCGGGGGAGGGGAGGAGCCCTTTAAAGGGGATTTGGCGTGGTGGGGCCGACCGGAAACATATATAGGGGTTAAAAACGGTCCTAAAAAGGGCATTTAGGGGTGAGGAATCCCTTGAAAGGAGCTCGAAGTTTTGGGGATCCCCAGACCCCTGGGATGGGAGGGGGAATCCTCCTTAAAAGAGGCTTGGAGTGGTGGGGACCCAAAAATTCCTTTAGAGGGGGAAAAACCCTTTAAAAATCCTTTAAAAACCCTTACCAAAAAAACCATTAAAAACTTTAAAAAATGTTTAAATTCCCTTTAAAGACCATATAAAAATGTTAAAGAACAAAAAAGGTTTGTGATGGGGCAGCCTCCCTAAATCTTTCTTAAATGGGTCAGGGTCCAATTCTTGAGGGGCTTGGGGTGGTGGGGACTCCGAAATCCCACTGGGTGGTCTTGACCTCCCTTAAAAGGAGTTTTTGTTGGTGGGGACCCCTTTAAGAGGGGTAAGGCCTCCCAGAAATGGGCTGGGGGTGGTGGGGACCCCAAAATCCTTCAAAGAGGATGAGACTTCATAAAAGGGCACTGTCCTGGTGGTCCCCACCCTGTCAAGCAAGCAGCCTCTTAAAAGGACAATGCCAAACCTACTCCTTAAAGGGGCCACACCAATTTTGGGGGGTCCCAGGGATGGCTGGGGGGTCCCCAGATGATGCCAGCCCTCCCGCAGGTGAAGATCCAGGGGCAGAACAAGGAGATGCTCGCAGCTGCCTGCCAGATGTTCCTGGGCAAGTCGGAGAGCGAGATTGGCCAGATCGCCCTGGAGACGCTGGAGGGCCACCAACGCGCCATCATGGCCCACATGACTGTGGAGGTGGGGCTGGGGGGAGCCACGCCCTCTTTGGGGAACCCATGCCACTCCCAAGAGAGCCTCACCCACTTGGGAGCCAACCAGCCCCTCCCCCCCCGTGGGATGTGGCCCCTTTAAGAAATCCCAGATCTATTTGGAAAGTCCATTGGCCCAAAAGTCACCCACCTGGATGGACACACCCCCTCAGGGGCTGGTTCCCCCCCCTTGGAGTGGGATGTGAGCCTTTAAGAGACCCCTCCCCCATTTGACCCATAAGCTCCACCCCTTGAAAAGCCCCACCCCTGGAGGAGTCCACAGCACTGGTGAAGCCACACCCACAATATTCCACCCTTTTGCCAAAGCCCCGCCCACCAGCACGAGATCCTCTTTCCCTGGCCCCACCCCCTTTAAAGTTATGCCCACTGTACCCTGCCCCTGCCATAAGCCCCGCCTCCTTTCCTGACCCCACCCAGTATTATCCCCACCCCAGCTCAAAACCACGCCCACCAACTCCACCCCATGACTCAAGCCATGCCCCCTAGGTCAAGCCACACCCCTGCCCTAATTCTGACCCCACCCCTCAATGTTAGGCCATGCCCACCCAGCTCCCCCCAGTATAAACCCCACACATGGCCCCACCCCTTAAGCCACACCCACCCAGCACCACACCCTTGCTCAAGCCATGCCCATTTTGGGTCAAGCCACACACCCTAAGCTAAGCCACTCCCCTGCCTCCACCCTGGGGTCAAGCCACACCCACGTGTCCCCACCCCTTGTTCAAGCCACACCCCTTGTGGCTCATTCCAAGCCCCCTAAGCCTCAAGCCACACCCCCAAAACCAAGCCATGCCCACTTGGCTCCACCCCTTGTTCAAGCCACATCCCTTGGTTAAAGCCATACCCATTTTTATCAAGCCACGCCCATTGGATGGGACCACACCTACCTGGCTCCACATGTCTGTACAAGCCACACCACCCAACAAAGCCACACTCACCTGGCTCCACCCACTTTCCAAAGCCACTCCCAGTTGGCTCAAGCCACACCTCACCTTAAGCCTGACCTCCTTCTGCTTAAGCCACACCCACAGAACCAAGCCACGCCTCTGAGATCAAAGCCACAGCCCCAGGATAGCAGCTCACCTGCCTAGCACCGCCCATTGTCTCAAGCCACACCCCCTGGATAAACCACAGCCACCAACTCTGTGCATTTCTCTGCTAACCCTTCCTTATTTTCTCCATGCCCCACAAAGCCCCACCCCAATAAACCCTGCCCAATTTAAGCTCCACCCCCTTGGGCCCCTCCCTGCTAAGCCCTGCCCCACAATGTCCCATGTTATTTGAGTCTCACCCTGCTAAACACTGCTCAGTTTGAACCTCTGCTAAGCCCCACCCTGCTAAGCTCCACCTACTTGAGCCTCACTTCTTTAAGCCCCGCCCCTTTGACCCCACTCTGCTGAGCTGTGCCTAATTTGAGCCCCACCCTACTACGCATTGCCCCTTTTAGCCCCACCCCACTGAGCCCTGCCCAACTCAAACCCCACTCTCAGGCCCTGCCCAGCCAAGCCCCACCCCCATTTGAGCCCCGCCCCGCTAAGCCCCGCCCTGGCCCCATTCAGGAGATCTACAAGGACCGGCAGAAGTTCTCGGATCAGGTTTTCCGCGTGGCCTCGTCCGACCTGGTGAACATGGGCATCTCCGTGGTCAGCTACACCCTCAAGGACGTGCACGACGAGCAGGTGACGCACCCGGGCATGGCTGGGGATACCTGGGGACACACCTGGGGACAGCCAGGATACACCTTGGATACACCTGGAGGCACCTGGGGACAGCTGGGACATACCTGGGACAGACCTGGGGGGCAGCTGGAGATACCTGGGACATACTTGGGACACAACCAAGACAACCAGGACACACCTGGGACACACTTAGGACACAACTGAGACACTCAGGACGCACTTGGGACACACTTGGAGATGCTCAGGGACAAGATGGGGACACCTGGGACACACCTGGGCACAGCTGGGACACCTGGGGATGCTTGAGACACACCTGGNGAGCTCTTGGAGGCTCTTCCATGATGAGGATGATGAAGGTCAAGGCCAACTGAGCAGCCCTAATGAAGGCCAAGGGCTGAGGATGATGAAGATCGAAGACTCTGCAAGGACCACGAGCTCCTGGAGGCTCTGTGAGGAGGATGACTGTGAACTCTGGGGACTCTTCGAGGATGATGAAGGTTGGAGGCTCCTTGACAATGATGAACCTTGGGAATCCTTTAATGAGGGAATTTGGAAGCTCTGACCATGATCAGGATTGGAGGCTCTTCGATGATGATGAAGACTGGAGGCTCTTCAAGAATGACCATGATGAAGGCTGGGGACTCTTCAAAGATGATGATGATGAAGGTTGGGAACTTTTCAATGCTGATGAAAACTGGGAACTCTTCAAGGATGGAGATTTCAGAAGTTGGGAGCTCTGACCATGATCAAGATTGGAGACTCTTCAAGGATGGCAAAGACCAAGAACTCATTGATGATGATGATGATGGAAGTTGGGGACTCTTCATGGCTGACAGTGATGAAGATTGGGGACTCTTCAAGGATGGTGCAGCCTGGGGACTGTGAGGACAACGCTGAAGGCTGGGGACTCTTCCAGGATGACGATGATGAAGGTTGAAGACCATGAGGACAACGCTGAAGGTCGGGTGGGGACTCCGCTGCTGCCGCCGCCGATGGCCAAGGCCAACACTGACGATGATGAAGGACAATGACGATGACACCGAAGGCGCCGCCCGCCGGTTGACGCCTCTCTGGGACAACACACCGGGAAAGGGAGGAGCAACACTGCCAAGGACTGGGACCTCTGGGGAAACCCCTCAGGCCTCCTCTTCGGCCTCCTCGCCGAAATCCTCCTCCTCCTCGGCCGTGGCGTCCTGGTACTGCTGGTACTCGGACACGAGGTCGTTCATGTTGCTCTCGGCCTCGGTGAACTCCATCTCGTCCATGCCCTCGCCCGTGTACCAGTGCAGGAAGGCCTTGCGGCGGAACATGGCCGTGAACTGCTCCGAGATGCGCTTGAAGAGCTCCTGGATGGCCGTGCTGTTGCCGATGAAGGTGACGGCCATCTTGAGGCCGCGCGGCGGGATGTCGCACACGGCCGTCTTCACGTTGTTGGGGATCCACTCCAC